AGTTCTTTCAATAACCTCAATAATTTTCCTCCCTAACTGATGGTTAAAGATTGTGTCACATTACTTCAGAAGATCAATGTTCTCGTGCACATGTTTCATCAGCGAATTCAGCTTTTTTAGACGTAAACCGAAGTTATCGAAGAGTTCAGGAATCTGCACTCGCCGTAGCCACTTGGCACAACAGCGGCCCTCTTGGTTTTTAGTCACTGTCTTTTCACAAAACTCAAACTTTTATTGGTGGTCAGTTTTGCTTTCGTTACCTGTTATTCCAACCAAGCCTAGTGTCTAGAAATGTTAGACGTTAAAACTTGTCTACGTCATAATTGCGCGACCCTCGCTTCCTGCTGATGTCGGCTGGCATGCTAAGAAAGGGTCCACCTTTGCTTTAATCACGCACGTCTCGGTGCCCAACTGAACACCTGGAAAGACTTAGCCAGGTCTTCGCTCGCCTATTACTATTTGAATTTTGCATTAGAAGAGAAAACTGTTTTTATTGTAGCGTCGTCTATAAATTATTTAGGCTTTATCGTCGGCTCCGAAGACGTTAGGTCAAAAGTAGAAAAAATTGCAGCTATTCAGTAAATGCCAGTTTTGTCAAATGTCTCCTATGTTCGTGAGTATCTTGGATTTGTGAACCATTATGCAAAATTCATCCCTCACTTGTATAATTTGCGAACTCCCTTACAGAAACAATGATAGAAAAATGCACCGTCTGTATGATCTGACACTTGTCAAAAATCTTTTTAGCATACCAAACGTATTCTGACGTCACCTTTTTCCCCAGCGCATTTCCAGCCTAGTCAGCCCCTTTTTCTTCCGTCAGATGCTTCTAGTGGCGGAGTGTGTGCCGTCTTGTTTTACCACTTTGCAAACAAGCAGCTGAAAAAAAGCAACTGCCAACGCGTCAGAGTTTCTTAATCTGTAGAACGTAATTACTCAAAAATAGAGAGAGGAGCGCTAGATATAGTTTTTAGAGTAAAGAAATTCTGTCAGTATTTACGGGGAATGAAGTTCAGAGTGCTTACGAATCATTAGCCTTTGACGACAATTTCTGGCTTTGTAAAGGGCGTTCCTCTAATAACAGCAAATCAATTGCAGCGATGAACTTTGTTCCTCTTGAACTATACATGTTGCATTTAGTAATGCCTCACAGAACATTTCGGGTTTGTAGATATTCCTTTGAGACTACCAAGAGGCTTTGATGTCGTTTTTGATAAATCACAAATTTCTGAAGAGTTTTTGTTCTGTGATTTAGCATTTGCCACTTCCACTGATATAATCGGTGATGATTCTAAGAACTTAGCATATACCTGGCTACCGTATTACTCGTGTTCATGGTTAGTGTTAGAGCTGGTGAAGCAACAGATAAGAAAAGGATGACTAAACAAGTTAAGTGTTGCTGAGATTCTTCCTCATTTTTAAAAACGCTCCGAATTCTTAGTAATTTATGGTTCGATTTTTTGAAACTTGCTTATTATTATTCCATCTCAACTAGGTAAGCGTCGAAATATTGTATTTTCAACATCCTGGAATTTAGAGAATGAAGTCAAAGACGGGACAATACTATTACTGGCCCAGGACGGATAAAAACATCAAGAAAAACGTGCAAAACCGTGTGTCTTGAAACAGCATTCAAAAGATGCCTCGAAAGGCTTTGTTGTATCTTGAATGAGAACCTGAAAAACCATACGCATTTGCGCGAAGACTTTGCGGATCTATCAAAAGTAGGTGCTATCTGATCTCAGTAGATTCACTGCCTAAATCGTTAGAAGTACGTTTGAAGTTTTATAAATGCTAGATCTACAATAGAACCGTTGAATGACGTTGCCATTACCGGAATGAAATGAAATACAAAGTGAATGGAAAGAGGGAAATGTATATACAAGATTATACAATACAGATAAGAGGGAAAAGAATACAAGTACAGAAGCCAACCATACAGAAGATAGGGTCGCACAATATGGGCAGAGTTGCTAAACACACATTTTGTTTCACATATTTCCCAAAAGAGAGTAGGTAGGTAGGTTGAAAAAATGAATGTCCTTCCTTCTCTCTTGAGACCCTTTTTTAAGGACAATGATATTGGTTATCATATAATCCCGATGTGATAATTTGAAGCCGATAGCGATCTTCGTGCATCTCGACCTTGAGCGATAGCGAAGTTATGTCTTCGCTTGAGACACTACTCTATCGGCTGTCCCAGTGACCTTCGACCCGGATATGTTGTGATGATTCCCAATAGTACATCTTGTCAACTGGAAGATAATAACAAAAGTTACGAAAGGAAAAATTTAAAGCAGATAATTATAATCAAAAAAAAAAGTAAAATTTTTACTTATTACTTTGGACTTTTTATATTAATTACTTGTTGTAAAGAAAAACGTTATAAACGACTGTGGCTGTTCTCAAAGGCGGCGAAGTGTACTCAACTTACAGTATCCTGATAATTACGTACAGTAGCTTGCTGTAATTTTACGGCTTTTTCTTTTGAAAGATTTGCTACTGCAATGAAAACCTTTGCTTTTGGCTAATGGCCAAGTTTTTTCAACTTCGCCAAAGTTGGATTTCTAAGCGTTTTTGGGGATGTCTGGTTATGCTTCTTGGCTGTTTTCTTGTTTGTTTATTTGCTTATTTTTTTCTGATGTTTGGCACTGTTCTGCTGGTTTTTTTCTATTAAATGATTTACTGAATGAGTGTGGGTTCAGCGAAGAAGTATCCAAGAAAATGAGGGTATTGTTTTTTTACACCAAAACTGATTCATAGTCTTCGTATGCCAGTCTTTTTACGGTGTGACTTTTGTACGCAAGAAAAGAAATTTTTTAAAGTTTTTTTGTAGCTGTCTATCTTGATAAGTAGGATTTTTGTCTAAATAGTAATGCTGCTGCAGTCAGCTATACCTTTTCCAAGCGTACTTTTCTATTGCTGTTAGTTTTTCGTCTTCTTATTAATTTTACTTCTCGACCTTCTTGATTTACCTGTAATGGTTTCGGATTTGTCTATGTACCTCCTTCTAATTTTCCAGCGATATAATGCTAATATTTCGTTATGACTTATAGTGCTTCACAAGGCTGTTTTGTGAGTGGCACGTGACACGATAAGTATCAACTTTTTTATTACTGTATGACGTTAGGTTCAGTCTACTTTTGGTTGTTACTCCTTCCCTCCCCTGCAAGTATCTGTCTGTGCTACTGTTGCAGTACTTTTGGTTTGACCGCTTTTATAACGTATAAATTTTGGTAGAAGCAACGGGGAAAAGAGTTCCTGGCTTAAAGTAATATTACAGATCTTCCTGACCTGTTCATGAGTATGTTTTCGAAGTTCTCAACAGCTTTTTTTGCGCCGCCTTTGAAATTTACGCGCTTTGCTCACACAGCTGAAATATCGTGATTTGGTAGGTGTTATTCTTAGGCAGAGCAGAAGTTGGGGACTGTGAATAGGATGTTTTTTGGGGAGTTGAATTTGAACCTTCTAAGTCTCGCTTACATTATGCCACCACTATCTATCGCACAAAGCAATGCCGCGAAAGATTCTTGTGGAATGCTGAAGGAATGGGAACAACACTCCATTCTATATTTTTGGAGAATTACGAAGAATTATCTAGACAAGTCTAAAATTGTCACTGGTGAATCATAAGAAGAAGGTAGGTTGATAGTGAAAAAGCACATATGTGGACTTTAGCACACTTAATTTACTGTGGCGTCAATAAAGTCAAGGAGGATATCGAGGGAGTTGAAATTATTGCTGCTGGCTTTCGATCTCTAAATCTAGTTAAGCCTTGAATTATTTTAAATTTTGGTTGCGTCTTTAAATTTGTCAGCTACCTTTTGAGTTGCAAAATCTAAACTGGATTTTTTCAGAAAAAATGTAACAGTAATATTCATAGGTTTGGAGCAGTTAATAAAACATTTGACAGGTTGGCTTGTTGTCTAAATCACTTGTTTGATTTGTTGAAGCTTTTATAGTTGATGGTTGCGCACATAGTGTGTCACTGGTAAAACCCCAAAAAGTTTTTTTCTGGTGTTTTTGAATACGAGCCTCTTTTGAATTTTATGTGATTAAAAACATTTTCAAAATTTAAGTGAAAGAACATAAAATGCAGCCTGTTATCAGTTGAAGGTAGCGCCAGCATTCACCAACTATAAAAGTACCGAGTTGTCTCTATAGCAATGTGCGCTGTTGGGGAACAATTTGAAGTCTAGATTATTGTAATAAAGTTGCTGTATAAGCGATGCATTCAAAAACTGTTAACAGTCATGAAGACGATTGTTCTACTCTGGAATTAATCGGGAACTATGATCAGGAGATTATATCGTTACAGGAAAATTGTTAATGGCAGAACTCCAATAAAACTGTCTTCTGACCAGGTTATTAATTATGTTTTTTCCTCGATCGTACTGCGTTCATTCGTTACCTTTGCACCTGATTTTACTTGAAAGTTTTATGTTAGCTTTTTTCATATTTTCTGATTGAACTTTTTTTTGACTTTTTGGTAAAACTAGTTGCTTCTCTTCTGCTTTTCTTTCCGGCAGTTTATTGGCTTTTTCCTTCTTGACTTTTCAAAGAAGTTTTGCCTGCTGCACATATTTTTGTTAGATGGGATACATTTTCATTCTTATTTCTGTTGTGAGTGCTTTTTTGATCTTTTCGACTGGATACCAACACACAGCTCCTTTTACAAAACTTTGTAAGGCATTTGTGATGTATCATTGACAGGAAAATTTAAAGCTCATTAAAGTTCCTTCGCTACTCTGAAACTAGCATTTAACGTCCCAGCGTCTACTGGCAAGTTTAAATGGGTTCCCGCAAAACATTTTTGTTTTTCTTGTTTTTTAACAAATTACTTCTTTAATTTGCAATTTTACCAAAAATCTTGAAGGCCAAACGATTATATAATTCTATCACTAACACCAGTGCTCGGATTTTTCAGCTCAACTCTACTTTTTCATGCATGTCTTACCCTCACCGTCATGAAGGTCGCTTCTTTTTTCCAGCCTCTTCCGATGTCTATATCTGGCCGCGGAGCTTTGGTCGTGCTTGAAGGTTGCGACCGGGCTGGCAAAAGTACACAAGGTCGGCTTCTTCTAGAAAGGATACGAGAAAGCGGAGGTGAATGCGAGCTACTTGCTTTTCCTGGTAAGGCTGATTTCTGTTTTTAATGCGTGGCCTGCTCAGAATATGCTGTTTTAGTTTCTTTAATGCCTTATTACATATTGTTTTTGAGGTATTCAGTTTTTGTGGGAGTTTATAGAAAAAGGGGGAGTTTTCTTTAATTTTGTCGAGAATTTTAGATAGGACAACAGACCTTGGTAGGTTCATTGACCGGTATTTGAAGGGCGAGGTAGAAATGGAACCGAAAGAGGCACATCTTGTTTTCGCAGCGAATAGACAAGCAGTAGTAGAAAAAATGAAAAAGAAGCTTCAAAGTGGTAGTCACTTAATTGTCGATAGATATGCATACTCAGGGATCGCGTATACTCTTGCGAAAAGTAAGATTGCTTCTTAACCGTGATTTGGTTATTTAGCGGTATTTCACTTGTCATTGGAAACCTTTTCACGGCTTCACTTTTCATTGCAATAGTGCATTTGAACGTTATAATATGTAGAGGGGTGCAATATGGGAATTCAGTGGGCAAAACTACATGATGTTGGAATCCTCAGACCGGATTGCGTTATTTTCTTCGATTTATCGCCTAGCGAAGCGGCCGCTCGATGCGGATTTGGCGGTGAACGACTTGAAGCTTTAGAATTGCAAGAACGAGTCTATGAAGTAATGAAACAGTTGGGGGAGGAAAATAAAGACATTTGGAAAGTTAGTTCTTTTTTTACTGTTAATTTTTGCGCTTTTTGTTCAATGAAATTAATTTTCCTGCAGTTTAGGCTGTCGACGCATCTTTGACAGTGTCAACGCTGGCAGATAAAATTTGGAGTTTAGTTGAGTCTGTTATGAAGTCAACCAGCCACCTACCATTGCATTTAATAGACACTGTCCCTTCTTGTTGCTCACAGTCATCGAACTAAAATGCCTTATTTCCTACTTGTAGCTAAATGACGATACATGTTTGGTGTTTTTTACTTAAGGAGGGGAATTTTTATTTTATGTCTCTCTTTCGAGATTTTCAGGTTAATTTACGATACTCGTCTTTTTAATGGGTATTTAACCCCTTCATCTCCTGGTTCTACATGGCAATGCATCTGTTTCATTTTTTTAGCTCTTGGTCGTTCTATCCACTGCTCAAAAAGTTTTTCTGAGACGGACCCTGACATATCACTCGTCACAAAGTTTCAGTTAAGAAGTCTTTCAAAGTGAAATTACTTGGATAGTTGAGTTTACTATTTTTCAAGTTGATGGAGAACCATGTAAAGAAAATTAGAGGAAGTTACAGGATTGTACTCGAAAAAGGATTTTCAGTCATTGGCAGCTGTTTGTTTTTATTATTTTTTTTATTCTACTCGAAAATAGAATTGCAATTATTGACAGCTAATTGTTTTTATCATTTGCTATTGTACT